GCTGGGATGCCCCCCCTCCCAGGATGGCTCTGTGCCCCCTTGGCTCTTTACCCGGCAGTGCTGGAGTCAGGATGGAACCCGGCGCTGGAGAGCCTCTCACTGGAACTGGAGAGGAGCCTGGTGGGAGAGGGGAAATCTGTGAGCCACCACAGGAGCCAAGCTGGCAGGAGAGGACCTACCCCTGCTGCTGGGAGGGCAGGTTGATCTCACAGCCCTTAACTGGCACCAAACCAGCTCCTTTTCTGCTTCCCTGGAGAAGGGGTTTGGAAAAGTCTCATTTATAGGGCCATGGGAGAGATGATCAATAAGGACAATAAGATCTTCCAATAAGGACAGACTCCAAGTGAGTCAGGCAGCCTGAATGGGAGCAGCTCTGGAGGGATTTGGCACGGGGTGTGCAGCAGGAGAGGAGCAGCTGGGCCGTGGTGGCCAAAGCCAGCACCACTGTCCCCAGGCCAGTCCTTGGAAAAGCTGCAGAAGGGGAAAGGTGGCAAAACTAAGGAAAACAGCCTGGCCCATTGGCTCAGCCATGAGACCTGGGCTGTTTGCCTTGCAGGGAGGAGGTTGCTCTTTCCTGGAGCCATTCCAAGGCTATCCAGGGATTCTGTGCCTCCCCTTCACACCCACAACATAGTGCCCAGTCCAGATCCAGCACTCAGCCCCGTGGTGGCCCCATACACGTGGGTGGGCTGGCACTGCCAGGAGGGACTGCAGGAAGCCCAGGGCAATGGTATTCCATACTGGATAGCTCCTGCCCTTCCAACAGCCCCCTTCTGGGAGCAGTTCAGTCGTTTGATCATTGATTTTCTGGGGACTTTCTGGGGACACTGATCTTGTCTCTCAACGTCTCTCTTCACTTTGAGCTCTTTTTTCCTGTAGCAAAAGCCAGTTCTTGGCCAGGCACCAGCTCTCCATCCTCCTGTCCCTCTGCTCTGGCATCCTCTGCATCTGGGAAACCTCCAGAGACCAGAGATGGATCTATTCCAGGCCCTGTGCTGGGCAGCTTTTGCTAGGAATGCTTTAAGAGTAGGTCTGTGCCTCTGGAATGGTTTCCACTCCCTGGAAACCGTTTCTCTCTTAGCTCTTGGCTTTGCTTCCTGGCTTCTCTTCCCCAGATTTCATGGAAGTTTCCCTCACAACCACCACAGCTGCCCCTTTACCTGGTGCTGTTGTAGTTCAGGCTGTCCATGTAGAACGGCACCCTGTGGCTTCTCTGGGCCATGGACATGCTGGGATCTCTGGGAAGGGAGTCGTGGCTGCGGGAAGGAAGTGGGGCAGTCTCAGGCTCTGATCCTGGGCACGTGAGGGATCCTCACAAGTGCTGGGAATCTTGGCTGAATGTCCCTGCTGGGCCCCAAACTCCCCCCCGCTCCACGGGCATCGCCCACTCGGGGAATCGGGACATCCCAGGGGATGAGCAGAGGGAGCAGTGGGGTGGTTTGGGGTTTGGAAGGTCTGGATGCCCCCCCTGACTCACCGCCCAGCCGGGGGGGTGAACTCCCCGTGCCCCCTGGCCCCGTCGGATCGGCTGCTCCCGTCGGAAACTCTCCCTTCGGGATCCAGGGTGGGCCTGGCGAGGAAGAGCAAAGCCCTGAGCACATTGTAGTGCCCGGAATCCCCACCCAGCAGTGCCCACCATGGCTCTGTTTGCTGGCTGTCGATCATCTCAGAGGTCTTTTCCAACCACAGGGATTCCATGGTGCATTCCCTCCACACCCCAGGCTGCTCTCCTGGCCCCTAAACCCAACCCCTGAGCATCGGGACATATCCAACAAATATATCCAAGATTATTTCCTTCCCACTGCACCCCCTCCACATGCTGCCAGCCCTGCCCATTTTCC